GCACCCCCTTAATAAGGGGTGTTGAATATTTGGGAATTGTGATTTTATTATCTTCACTTATATTATATATATATACACTATTATATTACACACTATAAGTCCCCAAATATAATCAATCTTCAAGTAATCATTCAATCAACAATGGCAGAAATGATATTCATGTAAGAACACTTAGAAGAAGATGATAGAGAAAGTCAACAACCAATATATGGTCAAACTTCAACTACGTAATCAGATGTTTACAATTAAGTTCCTACCAAAATTACAAGGAAACACCCTTTATATAGGGTCAAACAAGACACAAAATAGTCAAAGTCAAACTATCTAAGAAAAGTCAAACACGATGACTTTAAAACAATTATAGACAAAATTAACTTTCAAGACGAATACAATTTAATACTGAATTTCAGTTCTAACACACACACACACACACACACACACACACACACACATATATATATATATATATATTAGTATTAAAGTCTTATCGTAATTATTTTAAAAACTCAAAATAGTTTAATTCAAAAAGTTAACTTTTATAATTAATTAGTTATTTTAATTGATGAGATATTTATATAAATCACTTGTATTGAATTTAAATTAAGAAAAAAGTTAAGAAAATTAAAGAAATTGTTCCAGTTTGAATTATTAAGTTCTTGGACCTTTTTTTATTGCATAAGTCGTTGAATTCTTTTTGTGTTGATTGATTAAGTCGTTGCATTTTTTTTTTGAATAGTTAAATGATTGAGCTTTTTAGAAAACTAGTTACTTAAATTATTTTAATCTTTTTAAAATTGTATAATTTAAAAGTTATTTTTATAAAATGACTTAAAAAATGTAATCACTTTTACATAAAGTAGTATTTCAAAATTCTTGGGTTATTTTAWTATTTTTAAAATGATGTAATTAAAATATTGTGAAGAAAATAAAATAAAAGAGTTAATATCGTGCAACTCACTAAGTCATAGTTATTTACAAAAAAACCATTCTTACATTAATTTTTAAAAAATAAATCATCAAACTTTTAAAAATTGGTTACTTGAAGCATTTCAACCGAAAAATGCAACGTATCATGACTTACTTGTCTCACAGATCAAATAAGTGAAAAAACGATTTTTAAATCACAATTTCCCTGATTTTTAATCTATCTAGATAATTGTTAAATAATTTTTTTATAATACGTAAAAATATGATAATATTATTATTATATTGAATTTATATGTAGTTTG